TCATCCAAGCTACTCATTGACTTTCCCACAGGAACGGATCTTGTACTGTGAGTGAAACTGATGATATTCTGTTCAGAATACAACATTATACAATACGTCATTTCATAAATGAAAACCTTGATTTCTATTGGTTATAGGTAATATATAATGAAACATAAGAGAGAACTATCAACAAATTGTGAAAGAGAGGATGTGACAGATGGGTGTGGCAGGAGAGGTCTGATTTTCTATTCGATAGCTCTGTAACCAAACAAAATTGAAGACTATAAAATTTATGGTTTGTTTGAGCAATAACGATTTTTATAAACTATCTTACATTTAATTTCTTACTTTTTTCGGGGGGGGGGGGATGTGGATAACATAGGTATTATGACATGGTAAAAAAATTGTGTTACGTGAGTCACACTAGTGAAAATTCAGGATTTTTTTAAATGTTGCCTTGTAGAATTAAGAACTTAAAACTTGTATACTATTAAAATATGGATTATTAGCTAAGATTTTATGCTATTCTAAAAGGTATAAGATAAACAAAAGTCATTTAATAAAATATTGAATGTATGACACTAAAACCTTGTGTCATGCACAGTAAAAGGTACCAAGGGCAATAGGGTTAAGAAGACAATTGTCAGGCTTCATTCTGGCAATTCCATGGTGGTGTCTTATGTTTCTTATCAAGGAAGCACTTGGTCCAGGGCTCTTTTGAATTTTGGACCTCCTCTCTCGGGACCATTCCTATATTATCACCATACTAGCTTGCCATGTTCCATAGGTGATGCCTGTAAGACTGGGTCAATTGTCTCTATATAAATAGATTATCCTGACAGAATAGATGCTCCATTGCTAGGTTCTGTTGGATTGGCTCTAATTTTCTAACTCTCTGATTGATGGGTTGGCCTCTTATTGGATCACCCGACTACTGACCATTTGCTCTCCAGTAACTCATCTTTGGGCTTTGGCAATAAATGTATTCCATTAGGACAGGACGAAATTACAACTTTAAGCCTTCTCTCCACTTCATATGTTACCCAGGGTACTAAATATGATTTGTTACAACCCATTGTCGGGTCCTGTTGATAGCACCAGTTTGGTTACTACACCCAGGTTTCTGCTTCTGTGATACCTTTTGGAGTGTCCACCTTTTCAGCTTCTTCTTAAGCTATCTCTGAAGAGGCAGCCACGATCTGATATGGTACACCCAGCTATCCAGATGCTCAAGCTTCAGGCATGGAGGTTATGCTGTCTGGGTTTAATTTCTAAAGTTGACATGTATCTGTCTCAGTTTTTGCTTTGTCTGAAATGAATATTTATAAACAGAAATGAAGCATATTGGAAATGATGTATTGAGAGGAGATTGAACCTATCTTGATCAAAAGTGCCGACCATAATTCATTTTTTGTTCTAGCTCTTTGGCAGAGGTTTTTTTACATCTTCCACATTCTCCCGGTTTAAGGTGGTCTTGTTGACTACCATTCGATTATTGCAACTACATATTTTTTGAGTCCCCAGTACTCTCCAAATTCCTCAAGTTACTGTGGGTCATTGGTCCCAAATTACCATTCCAGTTACAGGTATATTAAGGTTACATTACATGCTCTTTCTCAACACCTGTTTGTGGCCTGACTCTTACATGCCATGTATCCCCTTTACCTGAAGGTTTATTTTCATGGCTGGTGACCTACAGACATCACTGTCAGAATGATTTGCTCTATTTGTCCACAGATCACTTTCTTATTCTCTCAGATC